ATTGCAAAATTTCAGTAAAGCAAAGACATGTTTTAAAATTTACTTGGAGGGTGCACCCCTAAAATTAGAGAAACTTGCCATACTTGTCAAAGAGTTCAGCTTTCCACGCAGTTCTTGTTTTTCAAGGTCATTCTTTAGGAGAACCTCACAATCCACAGAACTTACTGGCTACTATATGAGCCATCTTGAATTTTTAATGAGTGTCTCAAGATGGTGGGGAGGCATGTTGCATGCTCCTTGAACCAACAGTAATCAGTTTCTTTGGAATCTTTTAAACACCTTCAGTATACAACAAGTTCCCACAGACAGACACAGAGAAAAAACTGTTTTCTCTCAAAGGAGATCAAAATTCAGGGTGAGTTTTAAAAATTATTTTTGTTAATTTTTTTATTATTATTGTTACATGAATTTTCAAGACCAAGAAAAAAGTATAAAGACATGCACGGTCTTGAAAATTGGAAGAGGTACTTAAAATGAATTGTTTTGATGCTGTAATAATTACTTAATTCCTACATCAGCTCTTTTTAAATGAGGGTCAAGTTAAAATTGATCAAATGATTTACTTGATACACACTCTTGCTACATTTCCTAATAAGAACTCTGATCTTTTCAGGAAACGCTATACAATTTATCAGTTTATGCTTTCCCACATGAGTGATGAAGGCAGATTCAACCTCACTGGAAAGCTTTGTCAAGAGGTAAGACATATTTCTGTCATAATTAAGATGGCCATGTAGCTTGAAGTTGAAACTTTTCTTTTTGCAAGGATCACTCCACTAATATTTTATCAGTCCAAATATTCTGATGTGGTGCTTTTTTTTCCCCTGATAGGTACTGGGTGGTTTTACTGATGGCGACATTACCTTGGATCAAGACTCAGTTTCTGTCCTAAAAGATGTTCTGTTAATTTTGAGCAGCAAGGTAACAGTTACACATCACCAGCTGAACATCCTTTATCAGTTTTATCTTGCTATTAGTGGTTTTCTGAGACTTTGTTAGGGTTTGAGGTTGCAGTCTATGCAAGTACAGCCCTTTAATACTGTGTTTTCATTGCAGAACATTAAACTTTCCTCAATGAAAGCCAAAGCAGCAGAAGATCTTGCTGATGAGGGGGACATGGCAGGAGCTGCCATTGTTGCAGCCAGGAACAAATTTCTCACACAGGTGTTTGCCCACAGATTATTTTTGATACTTTATTCTGTGAGGTGTCCATGGTAAATATAACACAATAATTTGTATAATGTTTTTGCTTTGTTTCCCTTCAGGTTCTAAAAAAGAACATGATTGAGAATATTATACCCATCATTATTGAGCTTAAACATATGGTGAGTACCACATCAATTAAGATCTCATTATCTCTTTGTAACTTAAAGTGCCCCTTAAGTGAAACACGTTCTTAACTATCATTTGATCTTATGTTTGGTGTGACTGTTCATGCAAGGCAATCTTCAAGGTGAACCTTGTACCTTATTATGATCCTGATTTAATGCTCATTTTTTGTTGTTTTATGAAAGCTTGAAAAGAAGCATTCCCCTTTGCTCAAGGACCTGATGTCCTGTTTAAAAGAAGTGATGAAAGATTACAGATCTGAAGTACAGGAGGTGCTGTCGGCTGACAAGCAGCTTGCCAATGAAATTGAGTTTGATCTCAAAAGGTTTGAGGATCAGCAGAAAGAATGCGAGGAACAGAGACGAAAGCATAACACTCCAAACAATTCTCCACAGGTGTGAATATTTTACACACTCATGGGATGATAGGGCTTTTCCGGATGAATTTCTAGTCTCCACAATCATTGGGTACAAAATAAATAAAAGGGTTACATTGAATTTGGAATTACTAACTAAAGCAAGCAAGTTTAAATTCATTTCTTTTCATTTGTAAATTTCCCATACTAACAATTGTGTTGAAGAATATTGTCTCAGTCATTTAAAGTCAGTCTCTATTATTCCTTTTTGTTCTACTGAATACAAGGTTAATACAAGAAAGCCTAGTTCAGATGGAAATACCCCACCTCAAGCAGCAGAATTCATAGCCCCTCAGCTACGAAATGCAACACCTTCACCCAAAAATGGTAAGAGTTTCCCTGAGAATGGGAAGCCTTGGAAACCATGAATCAATCACAATATTTATCTGAGTGACTGCACATGCACCCACCGAATAGCAGTCAACTGATAACAAGTTAGGGTTAATGTTGGTCTAGGGGAGGGGTGGTTGTGCAGCTACTCATGCTGAAAGACTATTATTGATTTACATTTAACACTGCTACCAAGAATTGACAACTGAAGGTAATTTTGATAATGTAAATAGGCCATTTTGAAAGGGTTCATTGTTGACCTTTTCAAGCATGAGCCCTTGGTGACAGAGCCCTTTGCCATTCACTCTGATGAACCAAGTGTTTATGGCAAAGCAGAACTGAGATAGGTACATCAGTATATAAAGAACCATTAACCTGGTGATTTTGGTTTTGACTACAGGATCTAACAGGCCTAACATCTCACCTCTTACTGGTGCTATAAACCAACTGCAGATCAATAGACGTCACACCTTGGCCTCCAACCCAAGCCTGATCAACAATGTTCTCAAATCCAACCTCACTGTTCAGATTAGTCCAATACAAACAAAGCGTTGCTATACCCTCTCTACTGCAGCTATTCTAAATTCTGCTCGCAAAGCTGTAGATCAAGCTCATAAGGTTGCTGAAAAGAGAAGGAAGAGCATTGGTTCAATGGGAGGCCCTCATGAAAATAGTGTTGCCACAGAGGGACCAGAAAGTCGCACACCTCTCAAGCCTGCTAATTCCAGGGCCTTTTACAGGGCAAATGAAGAGCGTGCAGCCAGCACTCCAGAAGGTAAGGGCTTGGTTTTGAGGCAAAGATTTTGAACTTTGCACATGAGAAAATGAATTATTTGGAGGTTGTAATCAGTTCTAGTCATAAATGAAAAGCTGTTAATAATGAATCGAAGTAAATAGCTTTCAATTGTTCTTTGTATTCTGGGCCATTTTCAGTCACCGTTTCTTCTCTTTGGAGGTACACAACAACAACAACAACAACAATTTTATTGATTTTACAACAATTTTATTGATTTTACAACAATTTTGATTATTGATTTACAATTTACAATTTTACAATTACAACTTGAGAAGTACCTACCCACAATTAGTTGAAAACTAGTCAAGGCGGGTAGGCATAATTAAGTTCAGCTTATCACTAAGGTACTTACAAAGATTTCTAATTAGCAGCAGTTCACATTACACTAAGGAAAGAGTAATTCAAATTACAATAAATAGTAAATTAATATTAAAATAGTAAATTAATTTAATGATAATAATAACAGGAAATAGAGAGAGACTTCGCTATACTGGTCGTAGCTAGAGGATTGATGAGGTTTACAAATTTTTAATTATTTCAAAAATTGAAGATGGTGGGACTTCAATAAGGCACAATTTGCCCCTGCGACTGCAATAAGGCACAATTTGCCCCAGGGACTGCATTATGGGACTGCAGTAAGGTACACTTTGCCCCTGGGACTGCATTATAGGACTGCAATAAGGCACAATTTGCCCCTGGGACTGCATTATGAGACTGCAGTAAGGCACAATTTGCCCCTGGGACTGCATTATGGGACTGCAGTAAGACACAATTTGCCCCTGGGACTGCATTGTGGGACTGAAGTAAGGCACAATTTGTCCCTAGCCCTGAGTACTGTTGGAGGGCTCCTGGGTTGAGTTGGCAAGAATTTAAATGCTGCGTATCACTTAAGTGACTCTGTCTAGTGTTTTTCAGGTTTTGTCTTTGAAGATTTATTTTGATCTTTTTCTTCCATGTACTGTAGGTGAACAGAGCCATTTATCAAGGATTTCATTTTGTGTGAACACAAGTGCCACTGCGCCACCCTCCCCCATACCTACATCATTGCCAATCCGAGTATATGCACAAGACAAAGGTTGGTTGAAAATGGATGGTTAAAAATATCCAGGGTTGTTGCTAAGCACTGGCTGCAGGTGAAAAAAGCTAAATTTTTTGCCAGCAAACTTAGGTTATGCACTTACAATCCTTCAATATCAAATGCTTTCTTTGAGCTGCCTCACTTGGAATTTCAGCCCACAGCCTAATTCTTATAGCTACAATACTAAATATTTTGAATATATTGAAACAATACATCTTCACTGTGCCTCACCTTGTCCTGTTTTATTTCAGTTACTCCCCCCAGCTGGATAGAAGGCAAGGTTGATGAAGGAGATGAAGGAGAAAAAGAACAGGAAATTATCTGTTTGATGTCACCTGAGCGCAAGTAAGAAGAAAGATCAATGAGACAATAGTTATTATAACAATAAAATAATTATTATTTCCTATCATGTTAACATTATGATAATAATGTGGGTTATGTACTTACTCTGGTCGCTCAGAATGCAGGGGGGTGTAGTGGTTGGGGGAGGGGGGGGAGTGTTGGATAACCTGCAATGATCTACTGGTAGTATCCCATGCAAGGTAAGGACTACGCACTTAAGTTATTTCATGTCATCAAACCAGGTTGAATAAGGTCTGAAGTTAATGCTCCATCAACTTTAAAATATTTATTTTCATGAGAACACTGTTGTTTTTACCAGAAAAACATTTACATACTCTGTATTTCCTTAACCAACTTGAAGGTAGCTGGATACAAAACTTGTAATGCAACAAGCCTTGTAACAATTATCTTTACCTCATTCAACCACTAATCTAAAAGTCTGAGGTTCAGTTCTTATAGGGGTATTTGATGTCTTCTAGGACTCCCTGCTAATTAAAAAAGCAACTGTTATGTTTCCTTCCCTGCTCATGGTCAACATTATTATTGATTTACAACTTACAGGCTTCCAAAACCAAGGACATGGAATATCAAATCCCCAGTAAGTTCACTGTTTACGTATGAACTGTTCTCTAGAGAAATACTTTCAAAATCAGCTATTTAGCTTTGAAATAGCCATGTCAATTTGAGACTTGGAGAATTTTCTCTGAAAACAGTTTGTTGCTGTAACCAGTTACAAAATTCACACCAGTATAAATTTTGTCACAAAACTCCTCAATACCACACAATGTGACTTTTCATTGTAACTTGGACAAGAAACATATCTCAGGGATTTGAAACCAGTTGAGTGACCCTGAGCACCTAACTTTCATGGGTTATCAAGACAGACTTTGTCCTTACAAAATCATTACAATATCAAGCAGACAAGTGATGAGAAGAAAAATATCAATTAGGGGATTATTAGTTGAACCAATACCAAATTCTCCAAAGTATCGTCATTAGAATTGTATGGCAGAGAGGAAAGAGAATCACAAATTCAATCTTGAGAGTAAAAGGGTTAAAACAAAGCTAGGGTTGAAACCTTTTATTAAAAATGATGTAAATAACTCTGTAGTAATTTTGATCAATTCTGTATTAATATTCTGATATTATATTCACCTTTATTGTACCTTAAAGTCACTCACCCTTGTTTCACAGGATACCAAAAAGCTGGTTTCTACCAATAAGGCAGTTAGGGAACCACATAATGATTCAGTCTCCAAAAGAACAAGATCCCACAGACGAAAGTGAGAGTTTGGTGAACTTGGCTTGAATCTAAGCCTTTGTTCCAATTATCGCTATTCAAATGAGTGCTCAGAAATTAATTGTTTTATTGCTTAAAAATAACTCAATGAAGTGATTCCTCTAGTCAAAGTTTGCTGTAAATTGAAGTAAAATTTCTCAAGGTTGACGATCTAACGGCTCTTCCAATTTTTTTTTTTTGAATGTGCAATGTCAGCCTGGGCAGTTTCCATTCTCTCAAGAAATGCTTTTGTCCAGCTGTGGTACTTTTTGTTGTGCACTACGAGAATTGGGGATTGATCAAAACACCCTATTGCTGATCAGTTTCTGTAATCACAGCACTTTTGCTGGGTAATGTGGTAATCACAAGTACTCAATTTAAAGGACATGATTTTAAAGTCATGGGTACGATAAAAAAGGAGTTCTCTTGCATCCTTGCTCTCTTGCGTGCTTTTTTCTTAATTTCTTAGCAAGTGCCTACAGCACAGACTATTTTTTAACCTGTGAAAATAAATATTTATATTTTTCTGAATTTGTAGATTTAGTATTGTAGCATATGTAGTAATAAAAATCATTCTTCAAAATGTTTGGAACTGATGATTATTTTTGATAATGGCAAGGTTTTCATCAAGGATTGTAGAAGCTAAAGAAAAGTTCTAGGTAATAGCAGCATATTCACTTTCTATATAAAATGTAGCACAGGGTCTCAAAATTAAGCCAGAGAAGTGTACTAGCTAAGAAATTCTTTAATCTCTCAGACTTAATAAACACACTGCAAGGAAGCCTCTAAGAGTCACTAGTGTCTAATTTCTCCTGACAATATCACCCCTAAATCAAACAATAAAGTCACGAGAATGAAGGAAACGATCACCTTGCAATTAAGGAAATTCTTGATTGTTCACCTTTTCACTCCAAGATCTCAATATGAATTCTCCTTACCATCTACAATACAACTATTACAGTGTTAATTTGAAGAATTTGGTATTGGATCAAATCAAATTGGATCAAGACGCTTCACTCACATTGCTTCGTCTTCTCGGAAAGGACGTAAAGCCGGAGGTCCCGTCTCCTGCACCTATCAATTAGTTAATTTCGGCAGGGGACGTTAAAGAACCCACATCACGAGATTACCGTGTCGTGGTCTGGCCTGTTTACTGGGAGTGGGGAGAGGGGGCATCTGTAAAATTTCTTGTCTATTAATTGTAAACTGCCGCCGGCAGTCTGGAAAAGTCCCCCGCACAGTGTTGTAAAGCGCATTAGAGCATTTTCATGGAAATGTGCTATAGAAATCGATCTATACATTATTATTATCAACTAATAATTCCCTAATTGATATTCTTCTATATTCCCATTACTTGTCCATTTGATATTGCATTGATATTGTAAGGAGTAATTCTGTCTTGGTCACTCATGGGAGTTAAAAGGGTTAAACAAATATTACTTGTGGGCATCTGAGAAAATGTATAGAAAACAGTATGGAGAATATGCACACTGATGTTAAAGGTGGACAGAGTCAATAAAAAACAGCTACTGAGATAATAAGTCCTGTTTGTAAAAGTCAAAGAAAACCTACAGGTCATTGATATTTGTCAGCACCTTTAGAAATGTATAGAAAACAGTATGCAGAATATACATACTGAAGTTAAAGGTGGAAAGAGTTAATAACAAACACCTACTGGGATAATAAGTCCTGTCTGTACAAGTCACAGAAAACCTAGAGAGTCATTGATATTTGTAAAAGTCTTGGGCATCAGGCAAGGGACCCTCGCCACAAAGAAACCAGGAGTTCTACCAACCCTCACAAATGGTATCCTATTGTCTAAGCCATGGCTGCCCCCTCCCCAACTGCTCCTGACTTTTGTTAAGTTGCCTTGACATAATGCAGATGCTTATTTACAATCCTACATGGAGAGGGTTACTGATTGTAAGAGTAAAGTGTGATCCCAGGAAACTAAGTTCAGATCGAAGACTTGCATGCAAGGACGAATAACAATACACAACAAGGACATGTTCCTTAGTATTCCACTTTATTGCAGTACCCTTGATACCCCACTCTGAGTGCAGAAACAAAGTTTCTGTATTCATTCTTTTTCAATACCCACACTTTAATTGCTAGGATAAATAACATTTCATTGTTGGTTTTTGTATGCCCTCTTTTCCAACTGTGACAAATTGAATAATTCTGAGTGTTCAGAAACAGGGCTCTTGTATTGCAGCAATGGCACAGAATTTCATGACATGAAGTTCTATATCATGTTCTTGCCATACTTTTCCCACAATTCAATCCTCACCAATACCTCTTCCTTCCTAAGAGAAGTAGTGATCCTATAACAGCCAGGTTCCTTGCAGCATGTTGAATTTGAACCCAAAATGCAACATGACTTGAGCTTCTGCGCCAGTACTTTGTGTTAAAATCCACTAAAGCTGACACAACTACCAAGTGCCATACTACAATGCGTGCAAAATAACCTGCTTCGTACCCTGCATAGATGCAAAGTGCGGGAATTACATACAGTGCAATAACAATGACGATCATGAACTGACCACCAGGAATATTCTTAATGTGTGCTAGACGATCTTCCTCACTTGCCCACACCATGTAAGCACTGCAGAAGAGATAAAATGCGAGGATTTGCCGAGAGACTTGGAGAGCTTGAAACACCTTGGCCTGGCCTCTCTGACTGTCTGTGAGGCCAGCAGCAACAAATAGGTAACCTCCACATACTGCAGCAGATCTGGCTGCCATTCTGACCTGTTAGAAGAGACATAATTATTAGATTTAATTTAGCCCGATTTATGAGTGAATGAGAATGTGGCATGGCAATATGAAACCCAAAACAATCCCTACAGCACAATTAAAAGAGGAAAACCACCTCACGGTTAGCTCAATGGATAGAGCACTGGACTGTTGTGCGGGAGGTCAAGGGTTCAAGTAATAGTAATAATAGTAATCTGAGTTTAATGTCTTTACATGGGGCATGGTTACCCATATTGCCTGAGCCAGAGGCTCATGTATGAAACGCAAGACAACAACCCACCTATCCCACCCCAGGGGAGGACACGGATTTAAAGGGTGGACTACTCGCATGGATCACACATGTTCCGTTCTAGTCCTACCCCACTGCAGGAATGCAGGAAAAATGGATTAGAAAATATCACAAAGAACCACTGAGAGCTACAGGTTAATCCTTTCACTCCTAAGATCTCATTAGAAATTCTCCTTACTGTTTGCCACACAATTCTTATGATGTTGCTTAGGAGAATTTGGTATTAGATCAACTAACAATCCCCTAATTGATATGTTTCCTGTATTCTCATTACTTGTCTGCCTAATATTGTATTGATATTGTGTGAGGAGAAATTCTATCTTGGTCACTCATGAGAGTTACAGGGTTAATAAATGAAAACTTACAACAGACAGCAAAATGTTTCACCAGGTGATGAATGTTTTTCTTCTTTTGCAAATTATTTTTTCAATCAAATTCTTTATGAAATCGAATAGCCCCAAATGCAATCTGATCTTATGAAGCTTTCGCATTTTTTTGAATACTCCATTCTTAAAATGGAAAATATGTTATTTCCTACAAACCACACCAGCTACGAGAAAATACCTCCCGAGCCCCTTGATCCTTTGACTTTAGGGCGTTAATTAATTATGTATACACATGTTGACAATCCCTTATTCTTCCTGATTCAATCCTCGAGTTACAGAAAGTTGTAGAGGTGCATATCAGATGACTTCCCTTAAATTCAAAGGGGGCGTTTCATGAAGTGAAAAAAATGATTCGAGGCTTTCATGGTATCAAGAAAAAAGAAAACGAAGATCACCGAAATGCCAAACGCATTCAACAACTAAAAAACAAAATCACAAACTTACGATCAAATATTCTGAAGATTTTTTGAGTTGATAGAGAGTTACCCCTGTGTATATTACTACATGTAAAGCAGCAGCCAGGCCACATTTCCTCCTCTTCAAATCCAGAGTCATGCCTGTTCCACAAACAAAGAAAATCAAAGCGTTGATGTACACAAGCAAGTATTCCCGCCGTAAAGTGTCTTTGAAGGTCAACGTGCGCGCCCCTGGCAAATTTTCAGCCTCCTCTCCGGTGGACATCAAAAGGATAAACAACTCTATGAATGGAAAGCGAGTGACAATAAAGAGGCCTAAGGCGTCTAATACACGAAGAACTCTATCTAACACGGCCATAGTGGAGTTACTTGTAGGTAGACATATATAACTGGAAGAGAAACTTCAAAGCTGTTTCGCCATTTCATTCAAGTCAAACGTGGAGCCCACGAATTACCAGCGTACTATAGTCTGTTTTTACTAAGAGGGGAGGCTACGGGGAGTGAAAGAAATAACTAAGTTATCATTCTTAGGGCTTTGTTTTATGCCTTTTTTTTTAATAATTATAATCCGAGAAATTTTTTCTACAAATCGACAAAAAAATTTTGAGGATTTGTAATTTATGTAAAGATAAATAGTACTCCAGGACGATGGAAACTTAGTACCCTCCCCCAAGTAATTTGTTGTTAATCTCCCTTGGAGACGATGAAAGCGGAGTGAGCCAAGCTGTTTGTAATGATGTGATCCGTGCAAGATCACCAATTTATACCTTTGTGTCCCGTTATCATTAAAAGAAGAACCCTAGAAGACGAAAGAAATATTTGCCTGAAATAGTGGAGGTTAGTATTAAAAATAATTGTTTGCTCCGTTGGCGAGAAACGAATTACGATGCAATTTTGCATAGTGCAAAATTCTGAGTCAACCGCGAGATGTGGAGCCTTTTGAGGTGTGATGTTCCTTTGATTTGGTACAATTCTTTCAGGGGGGTTATCTACTCGATGTTTTGATCGTAAGGGATCGTATTTCTTAGGTATTAACGTGAAATTGCTCGTTTTTTACACCAAAATGTCTGTGTAACTTCGCGTGCATTCAAGCGCGTCCTAAGGTTATGTTTACGTTGGGACTTGCTCTGATTTAAATTTTTATGTATAATAAAGTGTTCCCGAGAGAAACTAAAACAACCTTTATGTGAAACTATCAGTTTTATCAGTAAGGGTTTGGAGTTCAATAACTAAACTTGTTCATGCGAGTTGTCGGTATTTTGTAGTTGTGGTTAGCTTAAATTAATTTTTTTTTTTTTCAATTCTAGAGATTATAATCTTGTGCAATTAACACGACATCTTTCCCTATCAGCTCATTGTTTGCGCTATTTTTTTTTTTTGTTCTTCGGTTTTATAAAATATCATTTGCAATAGTCGCAGTACTTTGAATAAGTTTTAAATGTCAGAGTGAGCACTGAATTCTCGTATACGTATATAATACGTGCTAGCTACGCTATTGTGGCCGGACTGCCCTATCTTTTTTTTCACAAAAACCTCCAAGCCCTAGATTTTTTAAGACAATATCGAATTATTCAATTGTATCTATTTATTTTAAATAGTATTGGTAAGGCCAACATCAGAATCACCTTTAATTAAACTTCAAAATTAGTTTTGTTAAGGGCATTGCAGCCTATTAACTGTATGTTTGTTTCACAGTACTGAGCTGTCATGATTCATCATATTTTATTTAAAAATGAATTTAAAACTTTTATTACATACTTGAGTGGATACAAAAAATAATTAATATTTGGTAAAATAATCACCATCTTTTATTTTACGAATCAGATATCTTGTCCACCCAATGTATGAAATGACAAATGTAACATCCAATTTTAAGAGATTATTGATGGAAATATATCAACCATGGCAGTTTTACTCTAAAATGGTTGAAACTGTCTGTGGTTTTCCATAGTGAAGTTTTTACATCTTTGCTTTTGGATCAGTTGTGGCATTGGGAGGCAAAGTGTAAATATAGCATTGTTGTTTGTAGCTAATTTAATATGCAAACTGTTTGTTTTGATCATTGGGTTTGATTTTGTTCCTGACGCCTTGGACTTTATTTAATTTTTTTTTTTCAAGTTTTTAATGAGAACATATCTGATCATATGCAACAAAAACTGGAGAGAAGCTTATTTCAATTTCGGAGAAAATCTAGAATTTTACTTTGCCATCTAATCAGGTTTAGGTGAAATATTCAATTACCTTTTCTGTGTCACAGAGCAATCTGGTCTAGAATTCCGATTAGGTTAGAAAAAAGGTATCAAAGAAATAATGAAAGAAAACCTTTCAAACTGTCTTAAGTTAGACAACAAATATATATGAAATACATATATATGAACTGCGGTTATGAAACGTATATGTGCACGATCCTTCGCAGTAAAGCACTATTTAAGCAATAGTGAAAATCAGACCTGAAAAAAATTCAGGCCTGTACAGGATTCGAACCACTAACCTCTGCGATACTAGTTCAACGCTCTACCAATTGAGCTAACAAGCCAACTGGGAGCAGGCCATCAAATTAATTCGACATAAACCCGTAGATGATATCATCTATGGGTTTATGTCAAATTAATTTGATGGCCTGCTCCCAGTTGGCTTGTTAGCTCAATTGGTAGAGCGCTGCACTAGTATCGCAGAGGTCAGTGGTTCGAATCCCGTACAGGCCTGAATTTTTTTCAGGTCTGATTTTCACTATTGCTTAAATAGTGCTTTACTGCGAAGGATCGTGCACATATACGTTTCATAACCGCAGTTCATATATATGTATTTCATTTATATTTGTTGTTTGATTTATCATCTATGGGTTTATGTCGAATTAATTTGATGGCCTGCTCCCAGTTGGCTTGTTAGCTCAATTGGTAGAGCGCTGCACTAGTATCGCAGAGGTCAGTGGTTCGAATCCCGTACAGGCCTGAATTTTTTTCAGGTCTGATTTTCACTATTGCTTAAATAGTGCTTTACTGCGAAGGATCGTGCACATATATGTCTTTAAAGTTAGTGGACACGAAAAATGTATCTGTCTTGTGATATTTGTTATTGTTTGAAATTTTACAATAGCAAATCTGGGGTTTCTGTAAGAGCTGGAAACTAGCAGAAATCACTGTCTCTGTGAAGCAAAATCGTGGTATATTTTCTCTGCAATTATCAAACTCACAATGAAAATCCAACCATTAACTGCCTAATTTACAGTTTTAGCTGTTTACTTCAACACTTCTAGAAACCCCTGGAAATTGAGCATTGGACCACATTACCAAACTTTTAAACACATCCAATCAGTTAGTTTGATCTGTGTGCTGGAGACATTTAAAAATTTGGTTGTGATGACAGATTGCTAGATTTTTAATTAGCATAGTACACAAAAAATATTTTGTACAATTTGATTTAAATAAATGAATGTAATGACAGAGGTATTCTTATCCCCTAGGTGGTCTCATGGTGGGTTTCTTATGTATTTGAAAAGAATTTTACCCTTTCTATCCCATGATGTGAATACCTTTTCTCTTCACTGTCTGCTTTACATTTTTCAGAACCATAACCTCAAGAATTTAGTGTTGAATCAAGCATTACCCTTAAGAGTTGATGTTCTTCCTTCTTACCAACAAATTTCTACTTGACAGGTATCAACACTGAAAAGTTAACTTCCTTTTTTGTCCCTTCAGTGTAAAGGATCAGGAAAATATTTAGAGTTTAATTTGAAAAGTTTATAATAATTAAAACCCATGTTTTTGTAGAAGCAGTCAGAATATTCTAGTTTCTTATTCCTTGAGAAATTTTGTTAGAGGTTCAATTGAAAGATTCCAAATTTTCCTTAAGACAATTTAGAATGACTTAATTAAGTACCACAAATGTACTGACAATCTTTTGGCTTTTTTTTCTCCCAGTAAAACTTCATGATTTTCAATTAAATCATCTTAACTAAAGTAGAGAGATTCTGATCTTGGTTTAAATAAATAAAAAAAAAAAAAATCATTTTGCAGAAATTTACTGGCATGATAAAAATGAAGCAATTAAAATTTTATATGTATTTAAAATAAAAACATCAAATATGTCTATAATTTATGAAGCTAAATTGTCTGCGTTTCTACCTAATCTTTCATGTTGACAGAAACACAGGATCTGCAGTCATCATTAAAAATGTCTGCAGTTCCTCCTCGTCCTGATCCACCAGTTGTTGGTAAGGTGACGCACAACAGTATTGAGCTGTACTGGAGAGCTCCTGAAGCTGTAGAACAAGGAAAGGGAGACGGCCGGTTGCGTTATTGTATTCAAGAAGAAGAGCTGGGCCCAAAGTCCAAAGGATTTGGCAATGTCTATTCAGGCTACAGTACAATGTAAGTGTAGTGTGTTTTATCAACTGATAATTGGCAATTTTCAGCGTACTTTCGAAAATTGACTGGAATTCTAGAAATTCAACCAGTAAAGGATTGTTTTGCTAGTTTGAAAATTTCTTTTAATTGCCGTCCTTAACCCTAAATTCCCTACCATGAATGTATAAATACACCCTATGTTATGTCACCCAACGACTGAGGACATACATATACATCCTCAAATGAAAAACATTACTGAGAGCCTGGTTGTTCATGATGGCTTGGATAATTATTCCCAGTTGTTGAGAAAAAATTCAACATGGCTGTCAGTTGGAGAGGGTGTCTGGCTATGATAGGGAAGGGGTTAAAATAAGGGAAAACACTGAATCCTCATGGAAATTTTGTCGGTGGTGATTCAGAAAAATATCAGCTGAAAGTCCTCTGTCAGAGGCATGGGAACAAAGAGAATTTTGAGTTCTTCTTTACAATTTACATCCTTTCTTTGCGATTAGTGTTATCAAGGTCTGCTACCAACTGCAGAGAATTTTTGGGAAAGAAACGCAGTTTATTTCTAACCTCATAGGCAGGGAGTCATTAGATCCAATGCATCCTAATTAAATTTAAGTCTGTCATGATTGACACAGCTTTGCACAGTTTATTTCATTTTCTTTGGGTCACCTGCATACAAAAACTTCTCAGTTGATCTAAAATGTAGCAGTCCAAAATAAACACCCTATCGGCTAAAGTGAGACCATGTTCCTATGGTAATGAGTGTTTTATTTTTTTAGAACTGCTATAGGTGGCTGTGAAAATGCTCATCCCCCTACAAGAGGTCTGAAAAGAATTAAAAATAGTTCAAACTTTCTTCCAGATAATTTGATAGAAATTATGAAGAGAATAGTTTACCGCCGCCCACTTAGCCCAATGGATAGTGCCCTGGACTGATGTGCGGGAGGTCGAGGGTTTGAGCCCGGGCCAGACCAACACTCAAGGTCTTAAAATAATTGAGAAGAATTTGCTACCTTTCTATAACATCAAGAAATGGTTAGATATTCTAGTCTTCTCGGATAGGGACGAATAAATGGAGGTCCCGTCTCCTGCAGGGTAGGGGTAGGAGACATTATTTCCCACGCACGAGATTACTGTGTGATGGATGTCCTCCCCTGGGGTGTGATGGTGTGTTTGTATTGTTGTGAAGGCCATAAATTAGATAATTCATTGGGTTAATTACGTCACCTTTGTTAAATAAAGAATGTTGTATTGTATTGTATTGTATTGTATAAGTTATTTACTTGTACTGGTCCTATCAAGCACCTCAAAAGAACCTTTCTATTTAACACAGTTATTATAACAACTTGTTGTGGGTCTAGAGCCCTGAGTTTCCCACCACTTTAAATTAATTCTAGTAGGTGATCTCGCCATTTTCACCCCTTTCATCTCATTTTGCCTTTGTTATGTTTATTTCAAGCATAGTATGCATATTTTCCAAACTACTATCTATACATTAATTTCCCGATGAACCTCACAAGGAGAACTAGTTTAACAATCAAGAGCTTCTTTGATTGTTGATCATTTCCTTTATTCTCATGAGCTTAGAGTATGATTCAGGGGTAATGTTTTAAGGAGAAATTGGATGCTAATCTCTCTTGAATGTCAAAGGCTAAGAAATATTTCGGTAATAATTTTCAAGGTGAAGTTAGGTGTGGAGTAAGCTATATTTTTTTAAGAACTATTTCATCTTGAATTTTGTCTTTTCACTGAATAATAGGAATGTTTTTGAAGGCCTGGAGGCTCGCACACAGTACCGATACAGACTGAAGTGTATGAATGATATTGGTTCAAGTGCCTGGAGTGCTGTTGTCACTGTTTCCACCACAAAGAAGCCCCACACCAGTGAAGATCTGCAGAGGGCTGTCGCTAAGGGAGATGTAGAAACTGTCAGAAATATTCTGCCCGGCAAGTTTTTTGATGTTTACAAGTAGAGCTTACTAAGTTTCAGTGCTACAGGGCAAATGACTATTATGCTTGAGAAAAGTTTTAAGAATTTGTGAATGTCTTCAAAAGTTGTAGTTTATACTGACTTACAGCAGGCTCTGAAAGCATAGAATATTCAGTGAATGTGAGAAAGCCAGTCCAGCACCAATCATTGGTATCCCTGATTTTTGGTCCATGGTTTGTTTGTTTTCTGTCAGCGAACTGCTATCTGTAAGTTTACCAACTGTTACTTGAGGTGTCTTTCAGTGCCTACAGGTTCTCACAAATTGTTGATGAGTTTGTTGAATGTAACTTAAAGTTGTCTGCTGAAAGTCTACAAAAGTCAGTAAAGGGAAGCTCTTATTAGATTTAAGCCAAAATTTTGGTTTTAAATGTCTTACAAATAGAATGGGAATTCTGTATTTTAGGACTTAGCTGGCAAGCAGTTGATTCCCCTGACAAGTTTGGTTTATCACCACTCATGATTACAGGTAAAACAGTCCACTGCAAATTCCTGATTACTAGGTGACACAACTGAAACTGTAATAGGGTTTCAGTGATAAATTGCTTGGTTTTCCCGTCGCATTTTTGCAACTCTAAATTGGGAATGTTTAACGTGAATGAACCACAACTTCCTATATTTGGTACCTTTTAGGACTAATTCTATTTAATTGAAAATATTTCAGGAATTATTCCATGAAGCGACATATACTACTTCCTTTGAATAGTTTTTTCGAAATTCCTGTTGGTTGCAACGGTCGTAAATCCTTCTACCAGCAAATTATGAACTATTATTTCTTCTCAATCAGCTCTACTAGCTTAGTCTTTTCCTTGGGTTTTTCTCACCAGCTCTGCAAGCTTTGCAGTCTTATTAGTTCCCCACCTAGGCAGTGGAAACATATTGAAATTACCTTTCCTTTTCTAATGGTATTTTAGCCCAAAGAGGTTATGTGGACGTGGCACGAGTTTTGTTGGAAACTGGCGCAGATGTGAACTTTCAAAGCAGTAGTGGAAAAACAGCCTTGATGATGGCCTGCTTCTCAGGTTAATAACTTGTGTTATTGTATATCGTAGTTAGTACATGAGCTATGATTGGTCAAATTAGCGGGCCGCATTTAACTGCACAGCCCGCTAAATTCAAAATTGTATTTAAATTGAAATGGTCCCCCCTCTTTTTGAACCCAGAGATGTAAGAAGTATCTTACTGGCCTCGTTTTCTCCTTCAGCTCGGATTTATGGTTCGCGTCCCTCCCGCTTGGCCGATAAATCCGAGCGGAAAAAAGCTCCCTTCTCAACTCTCAGTACTGGCTTCGAACTGGGTCAGCGAGAGGTACTGGTATTTAGCTTTCGCCAAAGGTCCATTTTTTACAAATATCGGTTTTTAAAATAGACGGGAAATGTTTCATACTTCTAGTCATCCCCACATCTAGTGTGATCTGTAATTATTGCATTTGGCCCTGCTGATCGCCTTATCCAAGCAGTGTTTACTTGAATTGTCGTTCACAAGAATTTCATTTCTCGATACCAAAGATAAGTCAAACCACCGTCTGCACCCAGAAAAGGGTGGAGTAGTGTGCCGCCCGCTTTTCCAAATCTACTTCAGCGGACCAAACCGTGTTACTTTCCACATACATTTTCAGACAGGGCTTCTGAAAGTTGCACTTGATTGGTCACGTGATTAAGGTTTTCAGGTGGAAAAATATTCTTCTATTTCTGTTGTATATTTGCAATTGGAAGACATGCGTTGATAGGATCTCGTGGCTTCCGTGAAAAACATAACTGATCTAAAATCATAATGGTCAAAATATATATGCCAAAGCTAACCAGACTGCTTCAAAGTTTGTTTTGTCTTGTCACATATTGGTGAAAAACAGAGGCAAGTATCAGGGGTAAGACTTAATAGAAAATGTCAGAAAGGGAAAGGAGAATTGCTTAAAGTAATCGGAAAGTTCGACTTAATATGAGCGTTCAAGTTATCACGAGTAAAATTACGATCAATGACCACAGTATGACAGAAATCCTGAAGAAATCGATGCTGGTTCAAGTTCGTATTATTGTTCAAGTCTGCGATGGTTTAATTAAGCATTTTTAGAGAGACAGGCATCTAATTCCTTCATACAATATTACCCCTCAATCAAACGTTAAGGTCAAGAAAATCAACGAAATTATCACCAACGAAAGGAGCTCTTAATTTTAGGGAAAATTCTTCTTGTCAGCACCTTTGGAAATAAATATGAAGAACAGTAGGGAGAATCTGCATACTGATGATGTAAGGGAGTAAAAAGGGGAAATTATTGGCCCTGTCCAGTGATGGGTTACTTTTATTGCCCCGTGTATTATGATTAACTATTTTTCGTTAGAGCACAAAACTATCGTGGTAAGTTAGACAAATTTACGTTTTCTAAGACACTTCTGTTCATAACGTTTTTTGTTAACTCTGGCAGGAAATGTGGAGGTTGCGCAGCTGTTAATACAGCATAAAGCTGACTGGGATTTAGTGGATAAAACAGGTTCAACAGCTCTTCACTGGGCGGTAGACGGAGCTAATCTGGATATGATCCGCTGGATGCTTCAAGATGGCTGCCGAGTGGACGTCAAAGATGAAACGTCAGGTGATAGTATAATGGTTGTAAAGCGCGCAGGAAGTGGCTTGAGGGGGAAAAATGTAGGAGGAAGAATGAAGCACAGTCGAGTGTTGTGACGTCTCGAATGCTCCAGCCACTCCCTAAGGAAGCGTCAGGCAGATCTTCAAGAAGATTTGATACGCAGCTAACGTTTAGCAAAGCAATTCTAAATTACTGCCTCGGTATACTCCTCTGATAAATTATAAGAAAATTTA